CAGAACCTGGCGCCCATATGGGATGCTGGCGCCACAGGCAGAGGATTAATCAAGTGAGCCATGGCGCTGGCCCCTACCAGGCAGTGTTAAGATGCCCTCACCTCACTCGGGAATGCCTGGATTTGACTCTCAGCTCCAGCTCCTGACTCCAGCTTCCTGCCAGTGCAGATCCCGGGACCAGGATCCCTGCAGCTCCCAGCTCCCAGCCTTGGCCTGCTGGAGGCACGCCTGTTGACAGCATCTGGGGCATGAGCCAGCGCATGGAAGCACTTGCTGTTTCTCTCAAGTTAAGTAAATAAATGCTAAAGAGAAAGATGTTTAACCTCAGGTCAAAGCAGGAGAAGTTTCAGTGTCATAGCTGTGTCAGCCGAGAATCTCCAGTGGGTGCAGTTAGGTAAACACTGGTTAGGAACAGAATATTTTTAAAAAAGATTTATTTATTTATGTGAAAGAGTTATACACAGAGAGAAGGAGAAGCAAAAAGGGAGGGGGGGGGTCTTCCACCTGCTGGTTCACTCCCCAGTTGGCTGCAATGGCCAGAGCTGCACCGATACGAAGCCAGGAGCCAGGAGCGTCTTCTGGGTCTCCCATGTGGGTGCAGGGGACCAAGGACTTGGGCCATCTTCCACTGCTTCCCCAGGCCATAGCAGAGAGCTGGATCGGAGTGGAGCAGCTGAGACACAAATCAGTGCCCATACCACATGCCGGCACTGCAGGTGGCGGCTTTACCTGCTACGCTACAGCGCTGGCCCCACTTTTTTTTTTTTTTAAGATTTATTTATTTGAAAGTCAGAGTTACACAGAGAGAGAAGGAAAGGGAGAAGGAAAGGGAGAGGGAGAGGGAGAAAGAGAGAGAGAGAGAGAGAGAATCTTCCACCTGCTGGTTCAATCCCCAAATGGCCACAATGGCCAGGGCTGCGCTGATCCAAGACAGAAGCCAGGGGCTTCTTCTGGGTCTCCCATGTGGGTGTAGGGGCCCAAGAACCTGGGCCATCTTCTACTGCTTTCCCAAGCCATAGCAGAGAGCTGGATCGGAAGTGGAGCAGCCAGGACTCAAACCAGCACCCATATGGAATGCCAGCACTACAGGCAGCAGCTCCACTCACTTCGCCACAGCGCCAGCCCCAGAATACTTTTTGATGCCTGGGAAACATCTCCGTGCACCTGGCTGTCACCACCCTTCCCCAGTGACCAACCTTGAACGTTCTCCCAGCAGGGCGAGGGCTCCATGCTGTGCCTGCTGGCAGGAAATAACAGGAGCAGACATTACTACCTGCATGACGTCCTTGCCAAAAAGGTACAGCATGCATCCAATCAAGCCTCTTGAATGAATTTCCAGAACCCAGGAGACACAGGGGTCAGGGGAACCGTTTCGAGACACTGCGAACCAACGAGTAGACAGCTCCAGACTGGGGTAACCCAGCAGGCAGCTGCCTAGGGCCCAAAGTCAGTTTCATGGAGGTGGAGGGGAGGTAAGAGACTGTTTTTAGATGAATAGAAACTAAGGACGCACAAAAACCAAATGCAATGCACAAACCTAAGTTAAATTTTGGTTTAAAAGGAAAAAGCCATAAAAGCAATTTGGGGGCAACTGGGTGAATTCAAATACTGGAACTGGCTAATAGCTATTACAGTATTATTATGATTTTAAGATATGATAACGGTATCCAATTCTGTAGGACAATGCTCCTATTTCTAGGGGATGTGTGAGAGATTCAAAGGAGAGAAGCTGTGAATCCTGCCTCTTACCTTCATGGCTGCAAAAAACAACCCTAACTACACAGACCTACGTCTGAGTTCAAAGCAGCAGGGTTGGGGTGGGCGCTGTGGCATAGCAGGTAAAGCAGCAGCCTGCAGTGCTGGCATTCCATATGGAGGACGGTTTGAGACTCGGCTGCTCCACTTCCGATCCAGCTCTCTGCTTGTGGCCTGGGAAACCAGTGGAAGATGGCCCATGTTCTTGGGCCCCTGCACCCACGTGGGAGATCAGAAGAAGCTCCTTGTTCCTGGCTTTGGCCTGGCCCAGCCCTGGTCATTGTGGCCATTTGGGGAGTGAACCAGCAGGTAGAAGATTGACCTTTCTGTCCTCCTCCTCTTTGCATAAATAAAATGAATCTTAAAAAAAAATTTAAAACCAGCACGGTGGTTAACTGAAAACCAGATATAGGATATATGGGTGTTTACTAGGTCATTCGTTGAATTTTCTTTATATATTTAAAATGTTTTTCAATAAAAAAAAACTAGAACCACCGTAAAAAGGGGGCTCTAAATGCAACATGGTGTGCAGAACAGGATCCTGGACAGAGCAATGCATCTGCCAGGAAGCAGTGACAGCTCAGTGAAGTCTGCGCACCGGTGTTAGCGCCAGGCTCACGTTAATTTCCAGTTCTGATGACTGTGCCGCGGTTATGTGAGAAGCTGACATTCAGAGGAAGCTGGGTGGAAGGAACTCCCTTTGCGAATTTTCTGTAAATCTAAAGTTATTACAAAGTAAAAGGCACCCATTATGCAAAAGCTACAAATACCTATTGCATTTTAATGCACACATAATGGAACACGTTCAAGGTCTGATGTCTACAATTCAAGGTCCGATGTCTACAACGTCGACCTTCCACCAACACCTGGTCTGGCACAGAAACTCTGCAGAGGTCAAAGAGCCTCCACAGGATCACACCGCAGACAGCAGGAGCCCCATTTGTAGTGGAGCTGCGGGCCGGGCGGGGGCCTTGGTCCCGGGAGCAAGGGGAAGCTGCCGTCTGGGTAGCAGCTGCCCTGTGCTCCGGGGCGGGGCGGGGGAGCAGCCCCTGGTTCAGCAGAGACAGGCGCTGAACCGCCCACTGGTGCTGTGCTGCCTGCAGCTGCATTGCAAGCGGAAGAGGCAGCTCCCGTCCTCTGCAGGCAGGGTGGGGGTCAGCCACTGCAGCGTCGGCGGACAGTCAGAGCAGCCCTTGGAGTGTGAAAGGTTCTCATCTGAGTTATCTCCTGAACCCTGGGGACATCTACTCCAACCGCTCCTTCACTGAGTCATGCACACCTCCCCTGCAGGTCCCTCTCTAAGAGCAGTCCCTGGTGCCTCTCCCCTCGAGGTACCCAAACACAGGCTTCTTCCATCAGGAAGGGGTCCACCTGTGGATGCACCTGACCCGTGGCCACTCCCCTCTGAGCGTCTACAGCCCCCACCCCCCACCCCCGCTGTGAGGAACCACAACAGGTAAGTGAGTGACGTGAAGGCGCTTTTGGTCTTTTGCCAAAAAGGGGCTGTGGGTAGGAGGACATGGTGGAAATCCAAGCAAAAAATCTCAAGACTTTTTTTAATAAAAGATTTATTTATTTATTTGAAGGCAAAGATACAGAGAGCGAGTAAGAGCTCGTTCGCTCCTCAGATGGCCGAAACGGCTAGAGTTGAGGAGATCTGAAGCCAGGAGCCAGGAGCTTCTTCCAGGTCTCCCACACAGGTGCAGAGGCCCAAGGACTTGGGCCATCTTCTACTGCTTTCCCAGGCCACAGCAGAGAGATGGATCAGAAGTGGAGCAGCCGAGACTCGAACAGCACCTATATAGGATGCCAGTACTGCAGGCCAGGGCTTTACCCACTATGCCACAGTGCTGACCCCGCCCCCCTTAAGCAATATTGATTTGATAACATTTGGGGGCTGCTGGGAGTGTGAGGCTGTTACCGGAGAAATTGCAGGGTTCTTGTCTTCGCGCAAGAAAGAATTCAGGCGTGAGACAGAGAGTAGTGGGAGGTAAAATAGCAAGGTTTATTAGGGAAGGGACATCTGTAAGGATGGGTGGGCACCTTTCCAGACAGAGCCTGAGAGGGTGCCCAGTTGCTTGGACCGGTGGGGGGTGGTGGTGGAAGGAGCGAGGTTACATGGTTGGGTGGAGAGATTACACCTGGCCAGACCAGGCGGGCGACTCAGCATAGAGGCAGAGGGCTGAGTGCACAGTCCAGTTGAGGCCAGGGGGAGGTTTTTAAGGAGATCGGTCTTGCTTCCCCACCTCTGCTCCTCTTGGAACAAAGAGCTTTTTGGATGTAAACAGAAAAACTTCTGAGTTTTCCCTTGAAGGTATCAGACAAGGGGAAGCCTAGCTGGCGCCATCCTGGGTTCAGAGGAAGGGTGAGCAGGACCCCCTAGAGAATGGGGATCGGGAGCAGGGTGTTTGAAATGCAGATACTGGGCTGCACCTGGGAGATTGTGGAAGATTTGTCAGGCAGAAGGGGCAGGGACCTCCACCTGGCAGGTTATCAGGTAGAAGGGGGCAGGGCAGGATGTGAATACCGGGCTGCCCCTGAAACATTGTCAGGATGACTTCGAGATGCAGATGCATATGCTGGACATAGACGTCTTCTCTTTAGGCCTTTATGTCACACACTGCTAAGAGCTCAGGCCGTGGGGTCACCTGGCTGCCAGGCAGGCTCAGCTCCACTGATACTGCGGTGTGATCTCGGGCAGGTTAATGCCCGTTCTGTGCCTTCCACCCACCGAGGGCACGGAGGTGCTGCAGCCCCTGGCCCACAGCATTAGCAGAACAGAATGAAATTCCCTCCTTGGCTGGCACCTGAGCGCGCCACACAAGCTAACGGTCCTGCCACGCCTCCTACAAACAATGGTTCTTGTTTCTACTTCGGTTTTGTAAAAATGTCAACCGTGAATATTAGTCCTGGAATCCAGAGGCCGAGAGGAACCCGGGAGGTCCCTCTGCGGGGTAAGGAAAGTTCTTCCACCTCCCGGAAAGCCCCTTTCGCCCCGGCAGTCTGTCAGACAAGGCTTTCAGAGTGGGAGAGCCTCACGCTCCTCGTCTTGTCACCGTCTGGTAGGTGCACGCCCTTTAGAGCACGAGTTACCAGCAAACTAGGGCTTGATGGGTGTTAGGCGGACACCCGCCTAAAGATGGCGCCCGGAAGGTGGGCCCAGTGGGCGGAGTTTGGGTCACGTGGGCTGGCCCTGGCCGAGGCGCTCGGGAAGCGGCCGTTCCTGCGCCCGGGACCTGCTCCTGTGTCTCTGCCGCCGGGCGCCCCCACGTGATCACGCCTGATCACGCCTGCGCACACGCGCCACCACGGCCAGCCCCCAGGCTCACGGGACGGCCTCTCCCCAGCCGTGGACCTCCAAGCTGCAGGCCAGTACAAACCTTCTTTCCTCCAAGGCGGCTCCGCTCAGGCATTTTATTGGCAGTAACAAAAGGCTGACTTCTGACACCGCCGCTGCCACAGAGATACAGGTACATCTCGTAGAAGGATATTTGGCAAAAGGCCAGGGGTTTAAAACTTTGAACCGGCATTAAGTGGGGCGAGCGTTTAGCCTGGCAGTGAAGCCGCTGTTCGGGATCCCACATCAGGGTGCCTGGGGAAGGCAGAGGAGGTGGCTGAAGTAGCTGCCCCTGCCACCCACGGGGGCGACTTGGATTCGGCTCCTGGCTTCTGCATGCAGCCTGGCCCAGCCCTGGCTGTTGCAGATGTCTGGGGAGGGAACCAGCAGGTCAGCATTCTGTCTCTCAAATAAATAATTAAATATGAAGAAGACGTATTAAGATGGCACGAGGCATCATGAAAATGTGACTTTCCCGAAGAACAGAGAGGGACAGAGGCCCACTTTCCTGACAGCTGAGCTGGAGCCCCAAATCCCAACACAGAAGCCGAGTGCACTCCAAGGAGCTCCTGGCAGTACTTTATCCAGGCTTCCTAGGCCTGAAGCACTAGAAACCAGGTCAGCCACACGCCTGCTGGGCCACCGTCCCCCAAGCTGGAGTGCAGCCTCAGCACCTACTCCCCGCCCTGGGAGAGCAGCCCAAGGAGATCTGCCCTGGGCTTTAGGGACAGCTCGGAGGCCTCTGGCCTCATCTCCCCCAGCTGTTCAGGAGGGAAGGCAGCAAGGGGGATGATAGCGGGCCAGGCCCACCCCCGGAGGGAAGAGAGAGAGACCAGCTGTGTTCCTGTGCAGGCTGCCACCCAGGGCGGTGCATCAGTCAGCAGGCACCTTAAATACAGGAGACCCCTGGCAGCCTCCCAGGTTGGGAGAGCTGTGTGCGTCCCTGAGCCAAGCAGAAATAGGGCAGGGACTCAAGATGTACAGGCACCTGATTCCAGGCATTCGTCCTCAGAAGCCACTCCATGGGCCAGTGCTGTGGTGTAGCGGGTGAAGCCACCGCCTGCAGTGCCGGCATCCCACATGGGCACCAATTCAAGTCCCAGCTGCTCCACTTCTGATCCAGCTCTCTGCTATGGCCTGGGAAAGCAGTGGAAGATGGCCCAAGTCCTTGGGCCCCTGCCACCCACGTGGGAGACCCAGAGGCTCCTGGCTCCTGGCTTCGCCCCAGCCCAGCCCCAACTGCTGAGTGTATTTGGGGAGTGACCAACGAATGGAAGATCTCTGTCTCTGTCTCTCTGCTGCTCTGCCTTTCAAATAAATAAATCTCAAAAAACAAAAGATGGTGTTGACTGAGGGTCAAGAAGTGTTAGTAGCATCCTAACACCACTAGAAACCCTCCTTGACTTGCAGAAGGAGGCACAAGATTGGCAGGTGGAGTGACCTCTTCTTTTTTTTTAATATTCATTTATTTATTTGAAAGGCAGAGAGTTACAGAGAGGCGCAGAGAGAGAGAGAGAGAGAGGTCTTCCATCCACTGGTTCACTCCCCCATGGCCAGAGCTGGGCTGATCCCAGGCACATTAGCAGGAAAATGGATCAGAAGCAGAGTAGCCAGGACTCAATCCCATATCATTCCCATATAGGATGCCGGCGTCCCAGGCGGCAGTTTGATCTGCTGTACCACAATATCCAACCCAGGAATCCCGGATTTTCACCAGGGGAAAACAAGCCTGGGGCTTAAGTGACTGAGGCAGGCAGTAGTACTGAACAGGGATTTACTAACACTGTTCTTCATTCTCTGGCTCCCCCTCTTTTTTTTACTTTGGTTACCTTTTGTGAGTATTTTACAGCAATGGACAATACCATGTTCTTAGGAAAAAGATATCATGTTTCCTTTTTAGAGTATATTTGCACCTTGCGCACCGAGGCACGAGTGGAGGAAAGCCTATGAAGTAACAGCGCTCTACTTGGTGAAAACTAACACAGCCTCCTGCCCACTGCTACAGTCACGTGACACCATCAGTACTGGATGGTACCGAGCAGCCGCATGCAACTGTGGTCATTCAAGTGAGCTAAAATTAAACAACATTTAAAGCTCAGATATTTGGTGGGATAAACCACATTTTAAGCGCCACATAGCCACAGGTGGCTGATTGATGACATCACCATCACAGGACATTCTGGGCAGCACTGGCAGAAGACAGCACTCACAGCTCACCTGGGAGTGGTGCTAAAAGGCCCAGCTTCTCCGCATGCTTGGCACGCGGGGGAGATGGGCATCCCAGAGGAGCAGGCCTCTGGGAGGAGCCTGGGGGAAGCAGGGCAGGGGCAAAGAGACTTCTGGGGCCGAGCAGTCCTGCAGAGAACAAAACAGAAACAGAAACAGAGAGATGCATGATGAGCCCAGTTCTGGCCATGCTCCCCAAGGAGCCCTCCTGAGTTTGCAAGAAGGGGCTAAGCAGGGAGTAGCCTGCCACTCAGACCAGGCCCAACCTGGGCTCCGCAAAGCTCTGCCAAGTCTCCTTTAGAGGCAGAGTACCCTTACTGGTCTAGCCCAGGGCTCAGCCAACAAGAGACACTGAACCAGGCTTGCTGTCTGGTTATGGCTTTTCTATGTTTCAATGGTCCCGTTTTAAACAATTATATGTAAGAGCCTGGGTTTGCTTCTCGGTCCTTGGAGCCTAAAACATTGCTATCTGCTTGCGACCCCGGCGTGGAGCACAAGCCTGTCCTGACATCCTGGTTGCTGCACCCCAGCCGCCCACTTCTCACAAGGGGGTTTTGTCCCAAATGTTCCATGGCGAAGCCGTGGACTCTTGGACCACGTAGTAAGCATCCAAAGCAGAAAGGTTTCAGATGGGCCCCCAGGGCTGCCCCAGCCCATACCTGCAGTATTCCATCACCCTGGTGCATGCGACAGCTCCTCCCATTCCTGCCACGGGCCTGAACAGGCCTCCAGCCCCGTGTGAAGGGCTCAAGAGTTCCGTTTGTCAACTAACGGCAAGGATGGGACACTTGCAGCCTCCCCCACAGGAAAAGACCATATGGTCATGCTGAAACAGAAAGGGGCCTGATGCAGCAGAAATGCCCGGGTGCAGGGAGACCCTGGTGCCCGTCAGCAGCTTCGGGGGGGGGGGGGGCGGGTCCCTAAGGCATGAGGAGCCAGGGTGAGCAAGCAGAGGGAAGGGAAGGAACAGCATGGCAGCAAGCAAGTACCACTACGATGGGACCAGAGAAAAGGCACGCCTAGACTCTCACTCATTCCAAAAGCCAGCAGAGAAAGGTCAGAAAAGGCGGGGAGAGTGGCAGCTGGCTCACCGGTGAACCCACTGTATGCGACACCCACAACCCTTGTCAGAGCACCCGGATTCCAGTCCCAGCTCCGCCCCTGATTCCAGCTTCTGGCTAATGTGCCCCACGGGAGGCAGCAGGTGATGGCTCAAGTACTTGGGTCCCTGCCACCCATGCGGGAGACCTCGGTTGAGTTCCCAGCTCCTCGCTTCTGCCTGGCCCAGCCCCAGGTGTTGCCAGCACTGGGGGAATGATTCAGCGAATGGGAGCTCTCTGCCTCTGTCTCTCAAGTAAGCAAGTAAGTACTAAATAAGGTTTAAAAACGAGGAGGAGGGGAACACAGAAATGCTCACCCTAGGACTGTGGATCTTCGATACAGACAGTTGACAATAGCAGACGTGTGTGTGCACAGCCACCAAAGCAAGACGGCAAGGGTGGGCACTGCGGCACAGCAGGTTAAGCCACCAACTGGGCTGCCCATATCCTTATGAGAACGCCTGGTTCTAGACCCAGCTACTTGCTTCTGATTCAGCTTCCTGCTAATGCATCCCGGGAGGCAGCAGATGATGGCCCAAGTGCTTGTACCCTGCCACTCACTTGGGAGACCCAGATAGAGTTCTAGGTTCCTAGCTTCAGCCTGGCCCAGCCCAGCCATTGCAGGCATTTGGGGAGTGAACCAGAAGATAGAAGATTCTCTCTATCTCTCTATCACTCTACTTTTCAAATAAATCTTTAGAAGAATAAAAGCAAAAGAGCCCATTCTCTCTATTTTGTTGCATAGTAACAGTCAGGACAGAACTGTTATGCTCCTGAGAAAGACCTCTGGCTACAATGATGCCAGCTCACATAAAAGGTCACAGCAGTGTCTGCACAAAGGCCCCCCGGAGCTCAGTCTCATTTAGGGTCCAGGTGAGAAGCTGACTTCCTGCAGGAGCTTCATGGCAGCTGACTTTTCACCAGGGCAGACGGACACAGGCTCTCAGTAGCTCCCCCTCCCCCTCTGCCTCCCTGCACACAAGATAGAAGAGGAGACCAGCGTGTCCCACGGGTGCCAACAGGTACCGGGAAGGTGACGATCAGCAGGAACAGACGAGGCGGAGGAAGCCGCAGCCTAGGTGCCCATGGCAGGGGCAAAACTCTTCACCCTCAAGAGCCAGGAAGGGCTCAGGCACTGGGAGCGCCAGGTCCCATGGAGGCATGAGCCTGGCAAGGGCGAAAACAGGAGCAGGGCCTGATTGGATGTCAGTGCCATGTGTGGCTGTAGACCCCACCCAGGCTGCTCCCGAGGGAGCAGGATGGCCATGAGGACATCGTCTGAGCCACAGGCTCCAGTCACACCCGCAGTCAGCCAGCTCCTGGGACTGTCACCTCTGTGAGCCACATGAGTCTCCTGTCGGCGCCTAACCTGAGCTGGGCTCCTGTCACATGACAAAGTCCACATTTCAGGCAGATGCCACCGAGAAAACAAAACCTCAAAACTACTGCTGAATTCAGAGCGCGTGCATTGAGGACTCAAGGGGGGTGGTATTAATGGGGGCCCACATCTTGGTGAAAGAGCGCCTCCAAGCTCAGTGGCACCCACCAGGACCCCGGGTGGAAACTTAACATTCATTAAAGCTACAAGGACCCAGCGCGCCGCCTCTCTTACCCCTCCTGCCGCCCGGCAGCTTTCAGAGCCACCGAAAGGCATGAGGCTGCCCCTGCCGGAAGAGCACCGACCTGGCAGAGCAAGGAGGCCTCCTCCCGGCTCTTGCCAGACACGGGGGTGGAGCACTGAGGAAGGACTTGGTGCCAGGGCTTGGAAGGAGGGGAGGCGGCTTGCCCACGATGGGGGCGCTCTTGCCCTGAAATGAGGCATGGTCATGGCTGGCTAAGGGATCCAGGACTAAGGAAGAGAACAGACAGAAGCCTGCAGGCCAGGGCGTGCTGCTGCACAAAGAATGGCCCTGGCCATCTCAGAGAGCTTCACTTTTACTTAGAGCTTTCTCTAAGTGAAAAGAAACACTGTTGTGTGTTGTTTTAGCTTCCTGGGTTCTAGGCTGGCGCTGTTGGCGTGGTAGGTTAAGCCTCTGCCTTCGGCGCAGGTTCAAGTCCCAGCTGCTCTCTTCTGATCCAGTTCTCTGCTATGGCCTGGGAAAGCAGTAGAAGATGGCCCAAGTCCTTGGGCCCCTGCACCCAGATGGGAGACCTGGAAGAAGCTCCTGGTTCCTAGCTTTGAATTGATGTAGCTCTGGCTGTTGCAGCCATTTGGGGAGTGAACCAGCAGATGGAAGACCTTTTCTCTCTCTCTCTCTCTCTCTCTCTCTCTCTTTCTCTCTCTCTCTCTCTTCCTCTGTCTCTCTGTAACTTTGCCTTTCAAATAAATAAATATTTTTTTTAAAAAAGCACATTTACAGGTGCTGGTGTGCACAGAAGGTTAAAACACCACCTGTAACACTGGCATCCTATATGTGCTCTGGTTTGAGTCCTGGCTGCTCCACTTACAATCCAACTCCCTGCTACTGTGCCTGGGAAAGCAGCAGAGGATGGCCACCCACCTGAGAGACCTGGAGGAAGCTCCTGGCTCCTGGCTTCCGGTTGGCCCAGCCCAGGCCATTTGGGGACTAAACCAGCAATGAAAGATGTTTCTCTCTGCCTCTACCTCTCTCTCTCTCTGTAACTTGGCCTCTTGAATAAAATATAATTTTTTTAAGATTTTATTTATTTATTTGACAGATAGAGTTACAGAGAGAGAGAGAGAGAGAAAGGTCTTCCTTTTTCTGTTGGTTCACCTCCCAAATGGCCGCAATGGCCGGAGCTGCCCCGATCCGAAGCCAGGAGCCAGGTGCTTCTTCCTGGTCTCATGCGGGTGCAGGGGCCCAAGCACTTGGGCCATCCTCCACTGCTTTCCCGGGCCATAGCAGAGAGCTGGACTGGAAGAGGAGCAGCTGGGACAAGAACCGGCACCCATATAGGATGCCGGTGCCACAGAAGGATTAACCTAGTGCGCCACGGCGCTGGCCCCAAAACATAAATCTTCAAAAAAAATTTTTTCAAACAAAAAAAGATGAGAAAAAAAAAAGTTTATCTAACTACAAGTTGTCCAAACTGTCTCAGCCTTCAGTCCAGATGTGATTGTCCATTGATTCCAGAGACTAGAACCCTCAACAGCAGGTGCCTGGACAGATTTCAAAACTCAGATATGTTCTGTTTCAGAATTACAGGACTTAGCAGCTTGGTTTGCTATTTCTATACAAACCCTCATTTCATCATTGGGCAGCATTAGGGTGAGCTTCCTGGGGGCAAGGGTAGGGGGAGTGCTATATGCAGTGTGTGTCAATGAGAATCCTTATGTCTCAACAAACTCAATTTCAAAAAAGGACAGCATGCCATTCAAACGTGGCTGGCTACACAGAGAGTTTAAAAAAAAAAATCTCGGCCGGTGCCGCGACTCACTAGGCTAATCCTCTGCCTTGCGGCGCCAGCACACCGGGTTCTAGTCCCGGTCGGGGTGCCGGATTCTGTCCCAGTTGTCCCTCTTCCAGGCCAGCTCTCTGCTGTGGCCCGGGAGTGCAGTGGAGGATGGCCCAAGTGCTTGGGCCCTGCACCCCATGGGAGACCAGCATAAGTACCTGGCTCCTGGCTTCGGATCAGCGCGGTGTGCCGGCGTGCCGGCCGCGGCGACCATTGGAGGGTGAACCAACGGCAAAGGAAGACCTTTCTCTCTGTCTCTCTCTCTCACTGTCCACTCTGCCTGTCAAAAAAAATAAAATAAAATAAAATAAAAAATCTCTAGGGGTCAGGGTGCACAACAGAGATACGCATGATTCCCAGGAGAAACATGCAAGATGTGATTTTTTAAAATGCATTTACTTGTGAGGCAGTGGGAGACAGACTGAAAGAGGTCCTGTTGCTCATTTACTTCCAAGTCCTGCTGGGACTGGGCTGGGCCAAAGCTGAGCACCAAGAACATAATCCAGGTCTCCCATGGGAGTGACAGGAACCCAACTCCTTGAGCCATCACTGCTGCCCCCAGGGTCAGCACCAGCAGGAAGTGGGAGCCAGGAGCAGAGCTGGGTTATCAAAGCCAGGCGCTCCGGTGTGGGACAGAGGCATTTTCACTGCCGGGCTAAGTGCCCGCCCCTAGGACAGGGTCAGGAAACAGTGCAGCAAGGGGCTGCGGGTCTTCATGCTGACCTCCTGGCAGTCACTGCTCCTCTAACCTCACACGTGCGATACTTTGATCAAACAGGGACAGCTGTGCTGGTGCAGGGCTTCTGCGTTACTCCATACAGTGAGAGGAAGTAACACACGTGCTCCGAGATCTTAACACATAGCAGAAGCCTTCCCGGTTCAGGTGAGGAGGGCACCAGGCTCTAACCACACAC